CACACACACACACACACACACACACACACACACACACACACACACACACACACACACACAGAGTATCAATGCCTTTTGAATAGCCTTCTACAGACTTTTTTCTCCGTTGGATAAATGGACCTTACAAATTGATCTTAGAGAAATGCTAAGAAGCAATTTGTAGGAAGTTAGCACCCACCCACCCCTTTAGAAAAATGAAATATTTTAGGAAATATTAAAAAAGGCAGAGCATTCGATTTCCCCGGATGAGAAAAGGAGAAACATGTTTTAAAGACAAAGCAGCTCCCTGCAGCTTCCTGCCCCCACCACCTTTGTCAATGGGCCATTAAGGCCTGAGCCAGCCTGTTATTTTATTTTTATTTATTATTTATTTATTAACCACATTTATATGCCGCCCAATCCCGGAGGACTTCTACATAACAAAGATCTACCTACTTCAGGCAGAGCCATAGTAGGAATTGCCTAAAGGCCTTTCATGACATCATCACCCAGCGAGAGTCAACCAAGCTTGGGACCCAAATAAAAGGCAGCCTATAGAGTTAGCTAACACCCCTGGGAGTCTGACCAACAACCAGAGTGCATTTCTTGCACAGGAACAGGAAGCTCTAGGGTGGGGCCCAGAGAGGGCACTCTCAGCATCTCTTCCCTTTTTTCTCCAAGACCTTCAAGGCATGGGATCCTCCTTCCCCCTCCCCCCAGGATCTCATACCATGTGGTCCTGTCGACCATTGAAACCATCTTTCCAAACAGCCACCATGTTTCCAGGGTCTTTTCCCCCACTTGGAACCGAACCCAGATGGACATTTCTTCCAACCAGCGTTTCAAGTATGTCTGAATTGTTCTCCCTGAATGTTAGTGGGCATCTTGGAATCAAAGATACAACCACCAGCTTAGGCATTGTGAAGGGACCAAAACAGGAAACATCCTTGGTGGAGGCAGGCTGTGAAGCTCTCTTGGGCAAGATGCTCCCCTTAACAGAACAAGGAGAATAAAAAGACTTAACAGCTTGGAGGGGACCATGGAGGTCTTCTAGTCCAACCCCTGCCCAAGCATCCTATCCTTAGCCCTCCAGCCTCACGGGCCCTCTGCTTCCTGATAGCTCTCACTGCAAATATTGGCCTGATGTCTTCTGTTTTGAGATGCAGAATCCATGCAGCTTCCCAAAATCAAGAAGGAATGGGGGGGTAGGGATTTTTTAAAAAACCCTTCCATCTGTCCCTTGCACGAGAAAAACTGATAAGTGGTTAAAATTTAGTAAACCAGACGTTCAGTTCACACTGAGTTAAATTGCTTTAGCTTTCACCTTGGTCTCATAAGCATATTTCATAAGAATAAAAGTAAAGGTTTCACATGCACATATGTGCTAATTTTTCCTGACTCTAGGGGGCGGTGCTCATCCCTGTTTCAAAGCCGAAGAGCCAGCCTTGTCTGAAGAGGTCTCCACGGTCATGGGCCGGTATGACTAACTGCCGAAGGCGCACGGAATGCTGTTACCTTCCCACCAAAGGTGGTCCCTATTTTCCTACTTGGCATTTTTATGTGGTTTTGAACTGCTAGGTTGGCAGAAGCTGGGACAAGTCACGGGAGCTCACTCCGTTACGCGGTGCTAGGGATTCGAACCACCGAACTGCCAACCTTTCTGATCGACAAATTCAGCGTCTTAACCACTGAGCCGCCTTCATCTCTACCCCCTGCTTTTTATCTGCAGAGCTAGAGTGGGGCTTCGCTAGCAGCGGTGGCTCTTCCATCCCAAGGACCAGCCCATAGATTTCCACTGCTCTCCTCTCCTCTGCCTTTTACACATCCGCACATCAGGCACTGGACCCAGCTGTTCCTCCTCTTTCTCATCATCCACCACCAGACCTGGTGACTGTTGACTCTCCATCTGAGGGCGGCATATTTTTTTACAGGACCCAGTCATCCTTTCCTTGATGCTGAGTAGCTTGGTGGGGGAAAGTGGACTATTACTACTCTTTCACAAATAGCTTTTCCAAAATAAAATGCGTACTGGTTTTTTGCCAAATTTGGGGAACTAAACCATAACAATTCAGATGAGATGCTGCGTAAGGGATCTCCGATTGCTTCACAGTAAGGCTGAATAGATTGAATGCTCCACGCTCGTAGCAATTAGCAGTTAGCAGTTAGACTTATATACCTCTTCGTAGGGCTTTCAGCCCTCTCTAAGCGGTTTACAGAGTCAGCATATCGCCCCCACANAGAATAGAATAGAATAGAATTATTTGGAATGGAATGGAATAAATAGAATATGAAGATGAAGATGAATAGAATAGAATAGAAATTAGAACAAAAGAATAGAATAGAATAGAGTAGAATTAATTGGTATGGAATGGAATAAATAGAATATGAATAGAATATAATAGAAATAAGAACAATAGAATAGAATAGAATAGAATAGAATAACTTTGGAATGGAATGGGATGGAATGGAATATGATGGGATGGGATGGAATAGAATAGAATAGCACAAGGGTGTCTTTTTGGAGATAAAAAAATAGTATTTTTTCAGTGGGATAACAAAACAAAAAAATCAAGATGGCAGCATATCTTTTTATGCATTCCCCATTGCCATTTGGGGGGGAGCCTGGCTGGCACCCAGCAGAGACCCCTGCCCTTGCTCTGGCCGGGAGGGGGGAGAGCCAGAAGTCGCCCCCACACTCCCTCTCTTAAAGCCCCCTCCCCCTGCTCCTGACCCCCCTCCTCCTCCTCCCAGGAGGCATCATTTACTCTATGAAATCAGCATAAATTTGCAAATGAATAAAGTCTGCAGATTGCGTTTCCCCTTCCTGGATCTACGGACAGATACTCTGCCAAATGAGGCATTTTCCAGGAAAGGAATCCATTTTAGTATTATTATATCTTATTAAATTTAGAAATCCCCGAGCCTTGGTGCAATTTTTTGCCTAAACGCTGCCAATCCGGCATTTGGGTAGAATGGGAATTTGGGATGCTTCTTAAAAGGATATGGGCAATCCTCGACTTATAACTATTCCTTTTTAGCGACTGCTCAAAAGGGCGCTGAATAAAGTGACTTACGGGCATTTTTTTTCACACTTAACGACCGGGGCAGCATCTCCACGGCCACGCGATTAAAATTCAAACTCCTAGGCTCCTATTTATGACCGTCGCAGAGTCCCGGGGCTCACGTGATCCCCTTTTTGCGATGAGCCAAGTCCATGGGGAAAGCTGGGTTCACTTAATGACCGTGTGGTTGCCTGAACCACGGCGGTGACTCGCTTAGCAACGGTAGCCAGAAAGGTTGCAAAAGGGGGCTAAAGCTCACTTCACCACTGTCTCACTTGGCAGTGGGAATGTTGGGCTCCTTTGTGGTCGTATGCCGAGGACTCCTCGTACTTGTGATGGCCTGTTGGATCAGGAGCAGCTTGCCAGAGACTGGACAGTTGTCACAGCCAGCCAGAGAAGCAGATGGGCTGAGACACACACAGGTACGCAAGCCAGCTTTCTAACAAACACAGGCTGCCATGTTTGCAACGCTTTTGCGTCATAAAGGGAGTCAAATGGGAGATGACGAGGCTTGTGCAAACACACAATCTGCCTTCTGTTGCCTGCCCCCAAATCTGGGACAAATATATCTCACAAGTTCTCACAGCCATTGGTGTGAAATGGTATACGGTCTCCTGCTTGAGCAGAGGGCTGGACTAGAAGACCTCCGAGGTCCCTTCCAACTCTTCTGTTATTCTGTAATTCTGTAAAGCTCTCTTGCCTGAGTAGGGGGTTGGACTAGAAGAGCTCTGAGGTCCCTTCCAACTCTGTTATTCTGTAATTCCGTAAGGAGCTCCTGCTTGAGCAGGGGGTTGGACTAGAAGACCTCCAAGGTCCCTCCCAACTCTTGTTATCCTGTAATTCTGTAAGGATCTCCTGCTTGAGCAGAGGGCTGGACTAGAAGACCTCCGAGGTCCCTTCCAACTCTTGTTATTTTGTAATTTTGTAAGGCTCTCCTGCTTGAGCAGGGGGTGGACTTCCTTGCTCCCTCCTTCTCTTTTCATTCTTTCTTCTACCTTTTTACTTCTTTCCTTCCTTCTTTCTTCTTTCCTTCCTTCCCTCCCTCTCTTCTTTTTCTTTCTTTTCTTCCTTCCCTTCTTCTCTGTCTCCATCTCTCCTTCCTTGCTCCGTCACTCTCTCCTTCTCTTTTCCTTCTCCCTCCCTCCCTCCCTCCCTGCTTTTTTCTTTCTTCCCTTCCTTCCCTTTCCTGCCTTCCCATCTCTCCTTTTCCCCCTCCNTTCCTTCCTTCCTTCCTTCCTTCCTTCCCTCCCTCCCTCCCTCCCTCCCTTTCCTATTCTCCTTCCTGGTGGCACAGTGGTTAGAATGCACTCTTGCAGGCTAACTCTGCCCACTGCCAGCAGTTCGATCCAGACCAGCTCAAGATTGACTCAGCCTTTTATCCCTCCGAGGTTGGTAAAATGAAGACCCAAATTGTTGGGGGAGGGGGGGGGTAAATGCTGACTCTAAACCACTCAGAGAGTGCTGGAAAGCGCTGTGAAGCGGTCTATAAGTCTAAGCACGATTGCTATTCATTGCTCGTCTAGCCCTCCGAGATCCGACGACGGCCCTTGCCCTTTACCTCTTGCAGCTTCTGTTCCTCGCGGGTCATGCTCAGCAGCATGGTGCTTCCTCGAACCATGGGGATGTCCTGCCACAGCGAGGAGCCCGACGAGACGGATAGGCGTTGCAGGTAAGAGTCCTGGGAGATCGGCACCTTTCTCCGCAGCTTGGGAGAGATTGGTTCCACCTCTTCAGACAAGGAGTCTATCTGTTTTTGACTCTGGATTGCTTTGTTCAGGGCATCGTCGCTGTATTCCTGGTAGAGCAGTTTGGCTGCAGGGAAGAATGGATTGCAAAGGACAGGGGTCGGCAACCTTAAAGAGCCATTTGGATCCACCCCCCACAGAAAAGAAAACACCGGGAGCCACAGAAACTACCAGGGGTTGAAAAGCTCAATAAATCATATTCCGGCCGGGTGTCTCACATTGGCGGTTGTGACACATATTTTGAGTGACAGGGAGAACCGCAGCAGAGGGATGAAAGAGCCACATGTGGCTCCAGAGCCGCAGGTTGCCAACCCCTGGCATAGGAGATCACAAGGCTGTTGCAATTACAGGTAGTCCTCGAAGTTACAACTGTTTGTTTAGTGACCATTCAAAGTTACAACAGGCACTGAAGTAAGTGACCTCTGACCATTTTCCACCCTTACATCTGCTGTCATAAGTCAACAGTCATGTGATCAAAATCCAGACGCTTGGCTTCTGACTCACATTTATGATGGTTGCAGTGCCCCGGGGTCATGTGATCCTCTTTTGTGACCTCCTGACAAGCAAAGTCAAGGGAGAAGACAGATTCACTTAGCAACCATGTTACTACAGATATTGAGACTCTAGAAAAAGGGCAGAGGAGAGCAAACAGGAAGAACGGATGTAGGAACTGGGCATGGCTAGTGAAGAGAAGGACCAGGGGAGAGATGATAACAGTCTTTCAATATTTGAAGGGCTGCCACAGAGAGGAGGGGGTCAAGCTATTCTCCAAAGCACCTGAAGGTCTAACAAGGAATAATGGATGGAAACTGACCAAGGAGAGATTCAACCTGGAAATAAGGAGAAATGTTCTGATGGTGAGAGCAATCAACCAGAAGTTGCCTTCAGAAGTTGTGGGAGCTTCATCCCTGGAGGCTTTCAAGAAGAAACTCGACTGCCATCTGTCAAAAAGAGTGTGGGGGTCTCCTGCTTGGGCAGAGGGTTGGACTAGATGACCTACAAAGTCACTAACTCTGCTAATCTAATTTAATCCCCTAACAACTGCAGTGATTCACGTAACAACTGTGGCAAGAAATGTTGGAAAATTCAACTTAACAAATGGCTCACTTAGCAATAATATTTTGATTGCATGATCATGGGGATGCTGCAATGGTTGGAGGCGTGAAAAAGGATCATAAATCACATTTTTTCCCAGTGCCGTAGTAACTTCGGACGGTCACTAAACCAACTGTCGTAAGTCAAGGACTACCAGTATCGAGCCCAAGTAGAGAAACATGTTTAACCCCTTTTAAGGGAGGAGTTGGGGAAAGCCACAAAACATACCAAGAGAAGCAATACTTACATGAATTTATCAGTTTGGAACGGCGCCGTTTGATATTTTCTAGGCTTTCTGACGTTTTCTTCTCTCTTTCAAGGAAGGGAAAATTGTTTTTAAAGAAGGAAAAATTAAGAAGTCTACTCCAAAGGAGTTGGCTTTCATCAATTACCCCTAAGCGTTGGGTAAAAAGAAAAAATCATCTGTTCAGATTGTTATATGAATTTGATTCTAGTTGCATTCCTAACCAGGGGTGGGTTTCAATAATTTTAGCAACAGGTTCTCTTCCTGGTTGCTGGAAGGGCGTGGCCATGGTCAGCCTCCTGCATGACGGGGGGGGGGGCATTTTCACACTCCTTGGGCTCCGGAGGTTTTCTTCGATCCTCCGGGAGGGCAAAAATGGCTTCCCCCAGGCTCTGGAGGACGTAAACAGACCCACTTCCGGCCCACTTCCAGAACTTCCTAGAGGATTGTTTTTCATCCTCAAGTCTCCATGCAGGTCCTGTACTTACCTGGCATCCAAAACGGGCTGCGAGGGGACTTCTGGGAGGGGAGGGGCAGGGTGGATGGGTGGGGCCAGCCAAGGGTGGGATTTGTGGGTTCTCTGCACTGGGCAGATTCTTAGCTAAAGGTTCTCCCAAACCACTGCGAACCCGCAACAGCCCACCCCTGTTCCTAACGCACGTGGACCGGGGGGGGGGGGGAAATGTTGTGCAGAACATGAAAAAATGCCTGAAAAACAAGCCGGCAACAGCAGCAGCAACCAGAAAACTGGTTCAGGGGCGTGGCCAGCCTGCTGACCTTACCGGTTCGGCAACCCAGTCCCAATTTCCACTACCGGTTCGCCTGAACCGGTATAAACCAGTAGCAACCCACTTCTGAAGTGTGCACAATAGTGAATGAAGACAAATGTGCACTCAAACGCCCTCAATGTGGGTCTAGATGACAATGAAGTTAAGTTTAGAAAAATGAGCCCTTGGAATTGCCTTTTTAAGACCGGCTGACGAATTTGTTTCGCTTGCAACTCAGGATTAAGTCATGCAAAAAAATCATCTTCTTGGTATCCTCAACTGTCTCCATCGGTGGACTTTATTACGAAACCTTGTTCATAACTGGCACGTGGCAACAGCTGGAGGCACTCCTGATGACGTCACCCTTGCTGATGTTCCCCCCCCCATTGCTTTTCTTGTAAGTCTTTCCCTATAAAGCAGATTTTTTTAAAGGCAGAAAACAGCTGTCCCTGTATTGGGACACTATCCTAAATTTGACCCTAGTCTACCCGTATCTTCTTTCAAGCAGATCCTCAGATCCCAGTAACTCCATCAACCCTCAATCCTGTCAGATCTGGGATGCAAAATTCAGACGGTCATTAGATGGCAGCAAAAGGTTAGAGAAGGTTTTTTTGTTTTGTTTCTCAACCTAAACAAATTTTAAGATATGTGGACTTCAATTCCCAGCATGCTGGCTGGGGAATTCTGGGAGTTGAAGTCCACGCGTCTTAAAGTTACTAAGGTTGCTTGACTGCTACCTTGGGAGCGACCGGATCCAAGTTTAGTACCCTTACTTTATGTCTACTCCGATCCATGTAGTACAGCCGGTCCTCGACTTACGATCACAATGGAGCCCAACACTCCCGTTGTTAAGTGAGACATTTGTTCAGTGAGTTCTGCCCCACGTGGCCAGCTTTTGTGCCACAGATGCAGAGGTGGGTTCCTACTGGTTTGGACTAGTTCGGCTGAGAAGGTAATAACTTGGCCAGACCCGTGCCCGAACCGGTTCTATCCTCGGCGGCGCCATCTTCATTTTCTGTTCTGCACATGCGCAGAACAATCTTCATTAAAAACATGTATTTTCCCCTTTTTTAATGTGCACATGCGCAGACCTTTTTACGTGCAAATGCGCACGCACACGGAGTGCACGTATGGCATGTGTACGAGCGAAGCTAGCGTGCAAGCGCCGAACTGGTAGTAATGCCAGCAGGAACCCACCCCTGCATGGACATTAAGTGAATCGCCGTTAAGTTGACGAGTTAGTAACCCGGTTAAGTGAATCGGATTTCCGCCCAGAAGGTTACCACAGTGGATCACTAGTTTATTTGACCTTGGGAACACAGCGAGGGTCATAAATATGAATGACTGAGTCTCTGAATCTTGATCGCATGATTCTGAGGTAATTGTGAAAAGCGGTGTCACTTTTTTCCAATACAGTTGTAACTTTGAATAGTTACTAAACGAACTGTTGTACATCATATTGTCAGTCTTTTACAACTTGGCTGGAGGCTTTCTTTTAGCCAGAAGTGACCTGTTTATTTATAATAATGTACTCCCGGCTTCCTGCCAAAGAGCTGCCTTTTGTAGCCTCGTGGCTTCCTCGTCAACCCTTTGAACTGTTGTTATTCTACCATAGATGGCCATGCTTCCTCTCACTGACTAAACAAGGCCTTCTGGAATGGTCCACCAGCCGGCCTTATCCTAAGACCTAAGAAGGATGAGCTTTTGCTGAGTCACGTGACACAGAAATCAGCTCTTCTCCTTCCTTCATGTAGTCACTTAATTCTCAGCTTCACCTCAGCGCCTTTGGGCTTTTTTTAAAAAAAATATTCCTTTCTTTATATCCTGCCTTTCTTATTTTTGCAAAAAGCTTAAGGTGGGAAACATATCCAGAATCAGAATAGAGCTGGAAGGGACCTTGGAGGTCTTCTAGTCCAGCCCCCTAACTCAAGATCCTATACCATTTGAGATAAGTGACTGGTTTAGGGTTTTGAAATGGTGTAGGGTTTCCTACACCATTTCGAAATGGTGTAGGGGTTGGACTAGAAGACCCCCAAGGTCCCTTCCAACTATTCTAATCCTAATTCGTAATTATTTCTTCTTCTTCTTCTTCTTCTTCTTCTTCTTCTTCTTCTTCTTCTTCTTCTTCTTCTTCTTCTTCTTCTTCTTCTTCTTCTTCTTCTTCTTCTTCTTCTTCTTCTTCTTCTTCTTCTTCTTCTTCTTCTTCTTCTTCTTCTTCTTCTTCTCCTCCTCCTCCTCCTCCTCCTCTCTTATTCTATTCTATTCTATTTTGTTCTATTTCCTATTCTCCTCTCCTCTTCTCTTCTCTCTCCTCACCTCTCTTTTCTTCCCAGAAACCTCCAGTGATGAAGCACCCACAACTTCTGAAGGCCAAGCTGTCCCACTGGTTAATTGTCCTCACTGTTAAGAAGTTTTTCCTCAATTTTAGGTTGCTTCTGAGAGAGAGTGAGTGAGTGGGCCAAGGTCAGCCAGCTAGCTCTCATGACTAAGGCAGGACTAGAACTCATAATTGTCTAGCAAATGGCCCCAAGTCAACTCAGCTGGTTTTCATGCCTACGTCAGGACTAGAACTCACAGTTTCCCTTTTTCTAGACCCCGTGCCTGAACCATTAAACATAACCTTTGTCTGTAGGCTGGCTTTCTGGAGAATGGTAAGATTTCTGTGAGGGAATCCACCTATTTTTAATTTTTTAAGACAGGAAATGGAGCATTTGGTCTCTCTTCTCCCTCGTTCCTTTTGGCAAATGAATGGCGTCAGAGCGGAAAGCCCGTCTCCCCATCTGCACTGTCAGAGGAAAAAAATCTCCAAAAGTATCTTTTAAAGCAGGGGTCTCCAACCTTGGCAACAGTAAGCCTGGTGGACTTCAACTCCCAGAATTCCCCAGCTGGGAGTCGAAGTCCGCCAGGCGTAAAGTTGCCAAGGTTGGAGACCCCTGCTTTAAAGCATCTGAGATAGCCTTTTTTGTGCCTCTACTATAGAGGTGGGATCCTACTGGTTTGGACCGGTTCGGCTGAGTAGGTAGTAATGTGGCTGGCCACGCCCCTAAACTGGTTCTATCGGTGGCGCCATACGCACCACCATCTTGTTTTTTGCTTCTGCAAATGTGCAGTAGCATTTTTTTTACTACTGTACATGTGTAGAGTTCATAAAACATGTCCCTGAACAAACTGGCAGTAACAGAAGCCGGAACCCACTCTTACTCTAATATACGCTCTTCTGCTTTAATTTCTTATGAATCCCAAAAGTTCTCTCTAGCCTCCATGGATGGAGCAATATCTTGACACTGTAGCTAATAACAACACATCAGCAGTCACTGGGTCTGAGCAAGCCCTATTTGAAAGTTGCGCCAGATATCTCTTGGGGTCAGCGTAGGGGATTCAAAGGGGTTGTAGCAATGTATCCATCGCACTCACTGAGTTTGGTAGACGAGCCAGGATTTTAACCCACTGAAATTCCAACTTCTAGCTGCAACGCCTGGATTCTCTTGTGAACTAGTTGTATAGCATCCAACAGCTTGCAAAGTGCAGGTAGCCCTCAATACAATACAATAGCAGAGTTGGAAGGGACCTTGGAGGTCTTCTAGTCCAACCCCCTACCTAGACAGGAAACCCTATACCATTTCAGACAGATGGCTGTCCAACATCTTCTTAAAGACTTGCAGTGTTGGGGCATTCACAACTTCTGGAGGCGAGTTGTTCCACTGATTAATTGTTCTAACTGTCAGGAAATTTCTCCTCAGTTCTAAGTTGCTTCTCTCCTTGATTAGTTTCCACCCATTGCTTCTTGTCCTGCCCTCAGGTGCTTTGGAGAATAGTTTGACTCCCTCTTCTTTGTGGCAACCCTTGAGATATTGGAAGACTGCTATCATGTCTCCCCTAGTCCTTCTTTTCATTAAACTAGACATACCCAGTTCCTGCAACCGTTCTTCCTATGTTTTAGCCTCCAGTCCCCTAATCATCTTTGTTGCTCTTCCCTGCACTCTTTCTAGAGTCCCCACACCTTTTCTACATCATGGCGACCAGAACTGAATGCAGACAACGGTTCAGTTAGTGGGCATTCAAAGTTGTGAGGGCTCTGAAAAATGCGACTTACAGCTATTTTTCACAGTTGTGACCTTTGCTGCATTCCCCCACCCCCGATGGTTCAGATGCTTTGCCACCAGTCCCTTTTTGTGACCGTTGCTGTGTCCTTCTGCAACTTTTGGACAAGGAAAGTCAAGGGGGAAGGTGGAATGTCTAAATGTCTAATGAATGATTCCCGTAAAAAGCAGGTTGCTAACTCATCAACGGCAGCGATTCGCTTAACAGCCCTGGCAGGAAAAAGTCATAAAATGGGGCAAAGCTCTCTGAACAAGCGTCTCAACTTAACAACAGAAATTCTGGGCTCAATTGAGGTCGTAAGTTGAGGAATACCTGTGCTGGTTGCTGACAGGGGAAGCTCCAAAAGCATCGAAATAATGGTTTGTAGATTGAATTTCGCTTGCTAGCTGGACCACTCAATCCATGGATACTCCGCTTCCTTCCCAACCTTTTCTGATCTCCTGGTTGATTCACGCAGCTTGGACCTTCTCCTCTTAGGAGAGACATGCCCTGAACCCAAGCTCTTCACCCTGCCCTGTTTTCCTTCCTGGCACAGGCCCACCTCTGTGGGAAGAGAGGATTTTCACAGCAAAGCACCGACGAGAAGGGACTCACCCGTATTTCACAAAGTCTAAGTGGTTGGCTCTGTCCTTGTGTGCGGAGGCTTCCTCTTTTGAGTGGAGAGAGGCTATGGAGATATCTGCCAAGGAAGAACAAGAGACACAACTTAACGGGTTGGACCTCCGTGGTTCAAGCAAGGCCCCTCAGACGAGGCCACTCATGACCACATGGTGAGGGTTGACCGAAGGCACAGTTGTCCTAAGATCCATAGAGATCTGAGAAGCAGTTACAGCAGGGGTGTCAAACTCAAGGCCCACGGGCCAGATCTGGCACACGATGTGGTCGGATCCAGCCCACAGGACTATCCTGGAACATTTAAGGAACTGGCGACATCTCTTTGGCTGGACTAACCAAAGTGAAGAGGAAACATCAGGCCACATGTTCTGACCGAGGCTTCCCGAGAGCAGGGAGCAAACTCCTTGTCCCGACAAAAAACCTTTTATTCATTTACTGTGACTCCTGCTCATTCGCATCCAGCAAAGTCTTTCAAGGGAGGATTTAAAGTCACAGACCTTATCTGGCTTGGAGACCTGACAGGCCGATATCTGCAAAACTTGGCAAGGAGTTTCGGAGAGTCACGAACCAATTAAGTGAACTAATGGTCTCCTGCAAACTCCACTCCCTTTTTGCTCCTCTTTTATTTCCTCTGGGAGGGGCCATTCATTGTCCACCTGTGGCCTTACTCCCAAGTCGACCAGTGTCCTTTAGCTGTTCCCTTCATCTGGCAAATCTGCGCATGTGCACACTGGGAACAGGCTCCAGCTGTTCCTCTGCCTCAGTGATATCTGACTCTGAAGGCAGCTGATAATTGGCATATGGCTCTGCCCCCCACTCTGCCTCCGATGCAGAGCCCTCATCAGAGCCTTTCCCAGACTCCAGGACAGGCCCATGTTCCTCTCCAACCTTCTCACTGTCCGAATCTGCTGCCAGCTCTGCTGGCTGCTGGTGGGCCACAACACAGCGTAGCTTCAGCCCGGTTTACCCAGAGCCAGCAGTTTGGGGAGAGGTATCAAGCTGGCCATGCCCACCCAGTTGGCCACATGCCTGGCCGGCCCCCTGAGACCAATCACAGCCCTGATGTGGCCCTCAATGAAATTGAGTTTGACCCCCCCCCACCCCGAGTTACAGGGTTTTCAAGAGGGCCATGTTGAACCACAGCATTGCTGATCAGTGTACAGATACCACAATGGAGCTCAAAATTCCTGCTGCAAAGTGAGACATCTGTCAAAGTGAGCTTTGTCCCATTTTGCAACTGTTCTCGCCCACCGTTGTTATGTGAATCACTGCAGTTATTAAGTTACTAACACGGTTGTTTTTCCTGCAACTTTGGGATCTGAGATAGAAAAAAAAACGCTCACCTACAGCACCGTCGGTTGGCATCGAAATTTTTCTTAAGCGCTGTCGATGCCAATCTTTGCTTTTCGCTCGTTGCTTGGCCCCCGCCTCCTGCTTCTTTGTTCCGAAAGCGGATTCTTTGGTGCCCAACCCGATGGTGTTTTTGTCTGGGCAGCTGGAGGACTTCTCCAGGCGCGGATGTCTGCCTTCCAGGCCTCTTCTATGGATTGCCAGGGAAACAGGTTCCCCCACTGTTTTTTCAAGGACTTTCCTGAACCTTCCTGGACCTTCAGAGAAAGATGCAATTGGATCGTCTGAAATCTTGGTCTCTTGCTCTGGCCACTGGAGATCCTGATGGCCCCCTGGGTATGGAAAACTTGGGGGCGAAGGAGGTCCGAGCTGGAGAAAGTGGATTGGGTTAGAGAATGCTAAAAGAGAAGGAGCCTGCCTTACATTTGCGGACTTGGTTTCGCACAGTTTCTCGCGACCTCCCGAGGAATGGAGAGTATAGCTAGAAGACCTCCCATCGGGCGTATCTTCAAACTTGGACACCATTTCAGAGACGCTGATGAAGGAATCTGCACCCATGGCACCATTTCCTAAAAATCCACCTTGCAAGTCCGAAAAAGAAAGGCCCAACTCAGAGCACGTGGCCAATGGAAGACCAGAAAACTCTTCCGTTGTATCGTCCAAACTTGAAACCAGGACAAGGTCACCTCGTTTGGAAATAGAGGATGAATTCCAAGAGGCACGGCGGCCCACCTGTGGGCTGAGATGTGTCGGTTCATTGCTTCCTGTGTGGGGGCTGTTTTCTGAAGTGTTGGTCCTCTGCTGTGTAGAAGGATTGTCCCCGACTAGGAGATGCTTCCTGGAATTGGAATCTGATTGGGAACGGTGAGAACCCCGGCTAACAGCGATGCGTGGAGCTTGTGCCTGGAAGTTGTGGCCCGGTCCAGCAGCTACAGATTGTGCGATCTCTTTAGTCCGCTGGGAACCTGCATTGATACTAAATGAAGGAAACACGGAACGTCTAGACAGAATGGGCAAAGTGGCATGGTGTGACACAGGTACAGACTGCTTAAAGCTGTGTGCGGAATGTGGAACTTGGCAACACTGATCCAAGTCACCTTCAGAAGCGGAAAGTTGCTCAGATAATCTGGTTTCAGGGGCTAAAGACGAATGCTCCAAAAGAGTCTCGTTAGCGGAAGATTTAGGGGCTAATGGATTAACCTGGTTGGAAGAGGACAATTGTTCTAGAAGTCGGTCAGGATTAAGGCCTGGGGGAGTTGGCTGGGCATTAAAATTTGCCGTGGATGGGGCGATTACGAACTGGAGAGGCTTCCTGGAGGACAAAAACGAAGCAGATTTGAAGGACAACATCTGCTCTGAGTCCCCCTCTGGAACTGGGGCCAAAGGTTGTGTCAGCTGAGCTGCATCGGTGGTCATTGCAAAAAGGGTCCTGCAAGACGGGAGGCTGTCGGCATTGCAGCCACATTCTGTTCTCTCTTTTCCTGCAAAATATGGTGACTCACTGGTTAAGCTTTCATCCTCCGTGCAATATGTGTCTGTTGCTGCTTCCTTCCCGGTCAACGCAGCATTCTTAATTGTGGGTTTCGGTTGTCGGTGGGACTTCACATCATTTTCAGTAGTGTCTTCCACCGAACCCCAGGAAGAAAGACTTAATTTGATCATCTCTTTGGCTATGTTGGACAGGCCTTCTTCTAGAGAGGGATTTGGGAGGTCTTTGGAAGGAGAACTCTGAGTGTCTTCAAGGACGTCTTCACCAAAAGTGGGAAGACGATCATCTCCATCACTGTCCGATACTGAAGCTTCATCATCACCGGTCGCTCTGCCTGGTTGACTGGAGAAATGTAAAACTGATTCATCTCCTGCACACGTGACAGTCTCATCCGTGGCTCCCTTGATGGGACCTTCTTGCAAGAGAGCAGTGATGATAGTCCTCAACGATGGGACAGGATTTTCTTTGGCATCAGAAGAACTGTCTGTAGCTTGAGAACCATGAAGATCTCGGGAGTCATTGCCTGACGCTACATCTGTAAACAATTGTGTTATTTGTCCACCATCAACACTCCTAGCATTTTCCTCTTTTCCAACATCCTCTTCTCCAAAACCCACGGTGGGTTGTGCACTATCTTGATCACCACAGAACATTGTCTTTGCTTCATCATAGATGCCGGAGTCTTCCACTTCTCCAGAGCTGTGATATAGGGCAGCCTGCATCCTTGGCCTTCCACTACCTGGCTGAAAGCCTGCAGGGGTCATTCCAGGGAATGGAATAGTAGTTGTTTGGATGCAAGGTTCGGGCAATATGCAACCTGATGTTGGAGAGTGATCTGCTGAGGACACCTCCTTCAAAGAGAAAGCAAGTTCTTCAGAACTGTTATCGTTTAAACCAGAAAGAGCCAGATTGTTTTCCAAAGAATCCAGTGTGTCCTGGCCCGATCTGATAGGCGCGGAGTCTATTGTTGCTCGCACCATCCATTCTTGTTCTTCTTGGTCCTTGTGTGACCGCTCTACTTCCTCCAGATTTGTCGCCGTGTTGCTCTTTGCTGCTTTCTCATTCAAATCCTTCCCTCCCTCTTCCTCGCTGCCTGCCAACTCCAGCGCCTTTGATTCTGCAAATTCTGGCTTCCTGGTGGTTGACGATAGCCGGTTTTGGTCTGACTCCGATTCCTCACAATTCACATTGCTTACATTATCATCGGTTTGGATGTTTTTCTTTAGTAACGGAGAGCTGCTCCCTTCGGCGTTACTCTCTTCCTCTTCCTGGAGCTGGAGAACGAGGAAGTTGAGAACATTCTCCTCCAAACCTCCCGTTTCATCATCAACATCTGAATGTTCCTCCGTTTCTTTGGCAGATATCTGGAATAGAATGTTGTCCGCTTTTCTTTGTGTCCCCTCTAAATTCAACTCTTCCTCTTCGGAAGACGGGTTACTCAATCGGTTACTCACTTCTTCTCCTTTAGGGGAAAGTTCATTGATTCTCATTGCAACGTCCATTCCATCGTAAGAGCTTCTGCTCTCCTCCTGCTGCGTCTCCAGTTTCCAGTTGGAGAAATCAGCACTTTTGTGGCAATCTGAAACATTATGATGAATCACCAAAGGAGATTCATTGACTGAGTCTTCTTGACAAGGAAGAGCATCTGTCATTGCTGATTCCTCATGCCGTGTCGGAGAGTGTGTGTCACACAAACTTGGAGATTGGCCAAAACTAGAATCACGGACTTGGCTCTCCATCTGTCCTGCACTGACTGCCCTGGGATAGGAGAGAGCAGGGCTAGTGGTATCCAGAAGGAAAGACTGGGAATTGGTGGAAGAACAACTTACGAATTCCCCATCCAAGGAATCTAAGGAAGATTCCCTGCTCTCTTTCAAGCTGAGCTGTCCTTCACTGAGATTCTGTTTTCCATCGGAAGATTCTTCCCAGTTCTCTAAATCTCTTGGCCCTCTTTCCGGTTCTTGGGAAGGGTCCTTCTCCACAGGATGAGAAGATCCATCCCACATATGTTCTTTCATAACAAAGAGAAGTGCAAGATCATTGGAAAGAGACGAATCTTCCTTCTCTTCCAACTCCTCACTTCCAGGAACTTGACTCATGATGAAAGTCTCTGTGACATCATGGTACTTTTTGGCCGAGGCAGGATCGCTGGTTTCATGTATTCTATGAGTTGTCCGCGGGAACAAATGTGTCTCCTGGATCTGCTCAGGCTCCATCAGTGAAGTTTCCTGAAAAGAGAGAGAGAGAGAGAGAGAGAGAGAGAGGCACAGTGGTTACAATTACAACCTGATTGAGCTGTACATACATATTGCCTGCGGGTGTTATTGTGGGAAGGACGAAAAATATAGCTAATCAATAGAACAGCAAGAGGAGAAGGATGGACAAAGATGACGAAAATGGAGAAAAAAATACACTTCTATTCAACCTTCCCTTTACATAAAATTCCATGCTGAATTCCATGGATCTTCCTCCCCACCCACCGAACTTACAGGAATTCAGAGGATATTGATCTCTTGTTCCCTTAATGTTGTTTCAAATCACGACAATCAAAACTAAGTTCATTACACACATCCACACACAGAGAAATACCCACGTGAGAGATTAATTCATTGCTGTGCCGGGAGGAGCCCCAGTGACATTAGAAAGAGTGACAAGGGTGGCCCACCGAGAGCCAATATGATGTAGTGGGTTAAGAGCAGACAGAGGACAGAAGCTGCATTCAGACATGAAACCTTGTGACTGGTCCCTCAGCCGAATCTACTTCTTAAAAGTGTGAGTTTTGGGAGAAGCCGAAGAAGGAATGGCTGTGTGTACAATTATCTACCTATCACCCATCCATCCATCCATCCATCCATCCATCCATCCATCCATCCATCCATGTATCATCTATTTACCTACTTATCTATCTTATCTATCTATCT